GCAAGTTTCTCCAGGAATTATATAAGGACAACCAGGAAGGTGAAGTGATTTTAGCAGCAGTACATGCCAAGAATGCAATCATGCTCTTTTCTGGCCATAGGTAACAGGGGTGCAGATGGTGAAAATGTAGTGGGGATTCAGGGTTCATGAGTGCCATAAGACATTGACAGTCAAACAAAAACCACAAATAACATCACTTACTTAAGGAGGGTTCCTAATATTGAAGAAGAACATAATCACAGTGAATGAACTTGTCCTGAATTCCCTCATCCTTATAGAGTGAAAATTTAATTTTAACATTTTCAACACAGTTTCAGGTATAAGTGAAAGGACTGCTTATAAATGCCTTTCACAGATTAGTGAGTTTCATGTGTTACTCTGCAGGGTGATTGTGATGGAGAAAGTATGTCTTACCATTGAGAACTGCAACCAAGGAGCCACCAGCTGCAATGTCAACTATCTTCCCAATTTCTGGCTGGAACTTCAATTGAACAGGGACATTGCAACTCATCTCTTTGATTCCACCTGGCTCCAGCTGACAATACTCAGAATTCCCCCAGCCAAACACTTCCTGCTTCTCTAAATAAACAACACAATGTCATATAGACTTATATTTTCCTTAATATGACAATTGCACTCCTCATATGTACAAAGCCAATTGGCCTGGATAAGAGAAAGACTTTCCATCTGGTGTCACTGGAAATCCTATTAATGTTTATCAGTGGACAATTGAGAGAATGATGAACAAGTCTTGGATACCAAATGAAAAATCCCAGGGGCAAAACTGTGATGTTGGCCAGTGATCTTACATCATGGGAGCAGTAACCCTAAATTCGGCATCAAAGCTGAATCAGCTAATAGCTGATTCTCGGCTCTGAGTTTGTTCTACCTCTGCTGAATAAATCTAATGAGTTAAAAGAAAAGCAAGATCGTATTCCATGCTGTTTGAATATCGTAACATTTGAAATTTTTCACATAAATGCTAAGTTCAATTATGACAAAATTAACGTTTTTCCACTTTCATGCGCAGTTCAAATTTGGAAACATCTGTCGAGTAAAGGTTATCTTCATGTATTCAATTTGGTGAGCTCTCTATGATAGGGAGTGACAAGATGATAAAGAGGTTATATGGTTTAAACTAATGCCAATATTTTCAGATAAGTCACAAGTACTGATAAAGGGGGAATAACAGTTCTTCTCATATTACAAGATTTATGATGGTAATGACTTAGAAATGCTAGCAACAACTTTGTGAAGCAGGAACTATCCTTAAAATAAAATAATTTTGCAAGCCTATTTTAAGGATGTAACTTATTAAAGACTCCATTTCTCATTAGCCTGAAGTTAATGTGTTCAAGTAAAGTAAAACATGAGGAGGAAAAGAGACAGAGCAAGAGATGGAGAAGGGAAACTCACCACTAAGGGCTAAGACGGTGTCAAAGGTAGAAGAGATCTTGGAGATACGTTCACCCTCAATATCCCCCTTAATGAGACTAGGATGACTGACACTATTGCAATGCCCTAGTCCTGTTTGACCATCTCCACCCCAACCACAGGAGAACACTCGACCCTTCTTGCTGAGGAAAAAGCTGCACATAACACAAGAAAAACAAATAACCAAGATGAGTATTCAAATATGAGTATATTCTCCACCTATACAGAGCTCCATTAATGTCAGTTAGATGGGCAGGGACAGACACTTCAAGCCATTGCATGGAATCATAAATGTCTACTTGGGCCTTTACATTTGGTCACTTCTTAATTTTCTTCTCTTTATACAAAATTTAAAATATATATATATAATTTTCCATGCATGGGGATTATTTTGTCATAAAAATACCTTACTTTCAAAATTCAGACAATTCCATGTTAGAATGAGACTAACACACAAAAGCTTTTCCAGGAAAGCTTTATTTTTACCCAGTAAAAAGTATGGTTTTTTGGTTTCTCCAATTAATTTCTTCCAGAATTGTCTAGCGTTTTCTGTTGCATTCGGAGAAAAACTGAACTTTTGCAACTCGCTTATCGATGATCAAACGCTTATCAGCCATTTCCTCAATCCTCCATGAATTTGAATTGAACACAGCCAAGGCACAATAACTCTCACACCCAAACAGACAATTGGATGTGGTGCCACTCCAAATTGAATGGCAGACCAGTTAGTAGGCTTTGTGCAAAGTTGATGGTTCATATCACTAAGTTTTTCCATAATATGCTTAGTACTCCACCCACTGAACTTGATTCAAATACTGATTCTGGAGGATGTTCCTGGACTTGCTTCAATAATGCTTATCCCATTAAGATGGGATAAGCAACTTTGAAAATGAATATGCATGCATTCTTCTGGTGATGTTATCTTTCACAATACATGATTTTAATATTGTGATTATGAAATCCTGATTGACACAACTTCCAACAAAAAACATGATTTCTAAACTCTTGGCTACCTTCAGATTTAGCTGAAAGAAGATGCAAACCTGGTATCCTGGCCACAGGTGACATTTGTGATGGGGTCATCACTGTCCCATGGACCATGAATAAGATGGATTGTGCTTGACTTGAGATAGTCTTCGTCTTTTATGATGGGACGGCAACACTGACCATAACCATTGTTTCCAAGGCTCCAGACAATACCATCCTCAGTCAAAATGAGGGTATGGGCTCGTCCTGCTG